TGCTGGGGGCGATGCTCAGGTGGAGGGATGCGGAGCGGTGCTGCTGGTGGTGATGCTCAGGTGGAGGGATGCAGAGCGGTGCTGCTGGTGGCGATGCTCAGGTGGAGGGATGCGGAGCAGGGCTGCTGGTGGTGATGCTCAGGTGGAGGGATGCGGAGAGGTGCTGCTGGTGGTGATGCTCAGGTGGAGGTGCTGGAGATTTAAGGTTGTAGTGGTGGCTGCCATGCAGGCAGGTGGGTAGCACGATCTGGCTGCATGCTTCACCTGCTGCTTCACACCAGTGCCATCGGAGGTGTAAGAGTGACCAAGGGTGGAAAAACTGAGCAATGAGTTGCCAGTGTTCAGCCTCACTTGAGCCCTGTGTGTATCTTGGTACCGACGGGGAGGTGCTGGCTGAGCTAGAGGGAGCTTCTTGTGTAAAATTTTTTGGAGATGCTAAGGGGAGATGCAAGAATGTGCCAGTGAGAAGGGTTTGGGTTCCCACATGGAGAGGTTGCTCTGTACAGTAAATGCACATGTGCCCAGTAAGAGCAGCTTCCCTCGGTGCATGGGGCTCCAGTAACCTGCAAACTGTGGCTGAGAGGTGTCAATTAAAACATTGTGTGAGAAACGACACCGGGCTCCTGAAAACCTCTCTGCCATACCCTGTGCAAAGACTGAGCTCTGCGGGAAATAATTGCATTGGCAAGAAATAAATGCATATGAAATGCTCTTTCTGTGGATATATTTCTCTGTGGAAACCCATTCACTTCTCCCAGCCATTGAATCACATGCTAATAAATGCCATGGAGGCATTGCCATTGTATTCACTTTATGGAGTGAAAACTAAGCCACAGAGAAATCTGCAGTGGCCTGCCAAGGATCAGTTCTCACAATGTCCTAGCTCTCCTCTCCAAGCCTTTTCTCCCTGTAAATGCTATATCCTTTGAGGTATAGTTTTTCCTGCTATCATTTGAATCACAAATACACAGTAACAATCTATTTTCATTTACAACAGGAAAAACGTAGAGATATCTATGAACGCACACACCATATATATTTTCGTATGGCAGTAAGACTGGCAGACAGACAAGCAAAGAAAATTAATCATCCTGTTCGCAGGTTTGGTAGAAAATGAGTTCCCAATTAAAAACCTGGCCCTGAGAATTCAAGATAGTACAGATGACACAGATCCTTGCTACACTAAGGTAAATCAGACTGGAGCTAATGAAACAAAGAGAGTCATTCCAGGTTTGCAGTGACACAACTGGCTGCATTTTGGCCTGCTCCAACTAAATGTGGTCTCCTCCAGGCTGACATTAATTCCACATTAATCCTGTGGAAATCCCTGGAGGTATCAGTCAATAATCTCAATGCAGCGCATTCTTCACAGACATCGCCCATTCGGAACATAGAGATTTCTATTCTCTCAGTTGTATGTATGTGAAACTCTGGCTACTTTTAGGGAAGTCGGGGTAGATGAGCTGTTTTCTCACTTAAAAAAAAAAAAAAAAAAAAAAAAGAAATGGTAAGCATAGGTTTGCGAATGCTAGAGAGGGCACGAGCATTCTCCTAATCAAGCATCCGGAGGAAACTGCAGACACGCACATTCCAGTTAGTCATAGTGGATGACTGGCTTCTTATCTAATCAATACTGAGGTAATTGGTATTACCAAATGGTAAACAAGGGATCCTCTGCCTCTTCAATACTTAAAACACAATTTATTGAACTTAGTAGATCAATAGCTCATGAAATTCTGTGGTTTTTGCTATACCAGGGAGCAGGCTAGATGATGCACAGCAGAGCCTAGGTGAGAAACACACCTCACAGGTGGGAAAACTGAGGCAGGCAGGTGAGCAACCCATGCTGAAGAATGGAATTATCTCCTGATAGTTTCCTTAGGACAAAATAACCTAAAACAGCTTCCACTTGAGGCTCCTTTATCAGCTAGTTGCCTTAGAGCAGCCTGGTCTGGAGCACTGTCCATGTATCCTGCACCATGGGGGATGAGGGAAATCAATTTGGTCTCCTTGGTACCTAGACCACAGTGTGGCTTTGCCTTTTCTCCTTGTACTTTCAAACCCATATAATCCTATTGACTTAATGGGATTTCTTTATGATTTACATGCTATTACTGCAAAGCCAATTAGGTGATGTGGTTGAACATATCCACTGATCAGTGCTGAAACTGGTAATTTCAGTTATGTTTCAGATAAAAGAATTAACTTCAGAAATAAACCTGGAAAATAGTTATTAGTTGTCTCAGCAAAGTGAGGACAGGAAATGTCTCTGTACAATTTTTTTTCCATACCATGTCTTCTCAGAAACACAGCTGCTGTCATCAAATAAACGGCTTAGAAACACATCCATGTATAAACCTAGCTGACGTCAATGAATGCAAGTGCAGGTTTATAAATGTGCAATACAGTCAGATCAGCAAGAAGTTGACCTGGAGAGATGCCAAGTGAATATCCTGAGCCAGCACAGGACAGATACAGCTCCTGGGCAGGCACGGGGCTGCAAACAAAATGTGCAGGGCTGCAGCTTCCAGCATCTGCTCAGCAGAGGGGATTTTCTGTTTTAGAGACAGAATGCCCCCAAGTTTCGATAAAAGTAATCTCCCTCCCTTCAGAACATCTGCAAGGTGAGTGGGCTCAAGGCTGCTGAACACGGCTCACCAGAGACTGCTGCAGCCCTCTGACAGTGAGTGTCAGACTGGAGTAAGGGACAGAAGGATCTTCTATTTTTTTTCCCCTATTCTTTATCTCCATAACTGCACAGTATCTTCACTCACTTGAAACCAACTTTCCTGCTGTTCATCATGTCAAGGAAGAAACTACAAGTGTAAATGACTAACAGCAGGAAAGTAAGTTTTGCTCTTCCTCCGGGGATTTCCAGCGCAGATAAGGGAGTTTGGTGCACAACCTAGTCATCTGTAGAGCGTAGGGAGCACCTGCTTCCTTCCAGAGAGTTTTGGTTAATGCAACTAGGAAAAGATTGCAGTTCTTCCCAGACATCCACAGCCTGCCTCTCAGCAGCATGAGTGAGAAGATGGCAATATTAGAAAATATCAACCCATGCCACTTGCACATGTGAGCAGCTCCCCCCTGATTTATCCACCCAGCTGAGTAGGAACCACTTAGAAATCAGGACAAGCAGATACTATAGATGTGTGGAGATGTGAATTGACTTTCTTATACCCTTATACTTTTAGTTGCAGGAAATTTATGTGAAGTAAGATACTTAGCTGACTCTGCACTTAGTAGACCCATCCTCCCTCCTGAGCTGCTTAGCCACATCCACATCCACAGCAGGGCCAGGAGATGGAAAGAAGAGGTCAATGCAAAGGGAAATAATTACTCATCAGTCTGGTGCAGCCACCCAGGATACATAGGGGTATATATAGTTGATGCATGTGCACTATAGCATAAAAACCACAGGACTGTACTACCTCTTCTCTACATAGACAAAGAATAAATCAAGAATAATCAGTGTCAACCACTAAAAGCCTGTAAGAAAGGACAAGGAAAATCTTGCAAAGAGCAAGTGAGGAAATGAAACATATTTGGTGAGGATGTGAAGCGCAAGGGTAAGCAGAGGGATGTGAGGTCAGGGCTGCAGGTGCTGGGGATGTAGGCCTGGGAGTGCTGGGGCAGGGATGCAGGAGCTGGGACGCCAGGCCAGGGTGCAGGTGCTTTCTGAAGCAGTAACTACAGGTTGTCAAAGTCTTGGATTACTAGAAGAGTCCCAGAAGAGTTAACACTGTTACAAAATCCACATGTGGATCAGATATTACTGAGAATGTTGTAAAATTAGCACTCAGAAATTCTGCTCTAGCTCTATCTGTTTGTCACAGGCCCTTGGAGGAGATCATTGACTCTTTGGAGCAGCTACCATAATTGCATGGACAGTTTTCCCTTAGCCTCATCTCATTAAATAAGGGAAGTCTCAAAGAACATGCACAATTCCATGTATTTAAGGGAATAAATAGGCAGGAGTCGCACAGACTGCTTTGCTAGAGGTATAAAAGCCAATGCAGTAGTGGTGATGAGATCACTTCTTCCTGCTTAGGTGCAGAGCAGTGCCTGGACCCACACCTGGGGTCTGGAACCCTGCATGGGTCTCGCATCCCACCATGCAGGTGATGGAGCAAGCACATGCTTCCTTCACCTCCAGAGGTGATGGGGCATCTGGGGACACCTGGACAGTCCCAGGTGGGGACCACTGCCATGTGGAGCTGACAGCATCTCCCACAACCCAAAATGCTCTGGAACAGTTATTTAATCTGTTGTTTCCTGCAGGGAATACCTCTGAAGAATATTTAAGTATCCTACACAGTGTCCCGTTCAACACGGCCATCGCGTACATGAGAGGTGAGTGGGGAGCCCCGCTGAGGGCAAGATTTGTCAAATGCATGTTTCAGAGACAGCTGGAGGGCAGACTATTTGTATTACTCAAAATGAATGCAGTAGCAAATAGTCTTTTGACCAACCAGGCATTCTATAAGTTAAAAAAAAAACTAGTTTTCTTGAAAATGTAGGGTTTCAGCAAATCCCCCATCTGATCACATAGGCACATTTTTAAAACTTGATAAGAAAACACAAATGAGGAAATACTTTCTTCCCTGCAAGGCACATAAGTGCATATCTCCATTATTTCCATTGGATATTGCATAAAGCCATTCTCACTGCTTCTCTTTGCCTTGGGTTTCCCAAAGGGACACAAAGTCTTAACACCCTACTTTTAAGTGTGATCTCCTCAGTGGGGTCAGGGCCCTCTCTTGAAGCTTCTGGCAGGAAAACCACAGAGCAGGTATCCCCATTTACCCGGAAATACTGTTACAGTCAAAAGAAAAGCCCTAAATTTAGATCACTAGAGTTTAGTGGCTCATTTGAAATTGTGTCTGATTTTCTTTCTAGTGTCAAACCCAGTAAACAGTTCAAAACTAAGCTTGATCGAGAAGGGAATTTGTGACGACATTCAGTGCAAGCGTGAGGAGCTGGTGATAGAGAAACAAGGTCTCTATTTGATCTACTGCCACTTGAACTTTTATTTCGCCAACTGCTCCAACAATCCCACGGACTTGAAGATAGAACTGCTTGTGAATGACAAAATCAACCGGCAGATGTTATCCACATGGTGTGCATCGGACACCTGCCGAGAAAAGTCTTTTAAGACCTTATTCCTGCTCCATTTGACACAGCTAAAGACAAAGGACCGGATATCAGTAAGACTTAATCAGCCTGAATTTTTGAACGTAGTTTTCCTTCCCAATGAAAATGTTCTGGGGGTCTTGAGGTACAGTGACAAGATGTGAGCAGCTCTCTGCCTTCCCACAGCTGCCCAGACTATCTTTCTCTGAACAACAGTAGCCTGCTTTCACTAGGCAAAACCTTGTTTTACATTTCCTATCTTACTCTGTCGCTTGGGTGAAAAAGGAGCTTTGTGGCAGCGTCCCAGAATGAGACCTAAAACACCATACGACTCGCATCTGACAGATGTAGCATCGCTCTGCTTTGACACAGAGTAGGGCTGCTGTGACGCTGGGCTAGCTGGCATACACCCTGCAGCCGTGCCATGGATTCCTCAAACAGCACTGCAAACAGACCAAAACCCAACCAGATGATGGGAAGAACAGGCAGCATTGGGAATTTTTGACTAACAGACTGCTGGCAAGGTGCCTGCAGGGGTGATGCCTGCAGGAAAGGTGCTCAGGAGATGGGGGATTCTCCTTACCTGAATTATATCCACTAGTGTTTTGAACCAGTCTTTCCAAAAGCTAAAGGTCAAAGCTCGTAATTCTTGCTTTGTTTACAACTGGAGTGTGCAATTGCAGCTCTTGAGCAGCTTTATGGGGAGACTGTACAAAAGAAAAGACGAGGAAATCATTGACTCACAGGCTGATCCTCATGCTCTGGGGCAGGATGTAGGAGATTTGAGACTTGCAAAATACTTCTGTGCTGCACTCTGCTAGGGACTTTGTGGGATATCATTTCAATGTCTCCTTTCTTTACTATCTACACATCTTTTCTATTTAAACATTAAGCTCTCTGAAGATATTGAGTGTGCTTAGCCTCTCTACTCACCTGGGACTCCTACAGCCTTCCATAACAAATAGTAAAACAGTCATCTAGTTGTGTTGCAAAACAAGCATGTTCATGATGACATGTTTTCATGCACCCTGTCCAGCCTATTTGGCAGTAAACTGAATGACACTGAAGCACTGAGTTGTATAACACACCTCTATCTAACAACACAACCTCCTGAAAAATCCAAGGCAGGTCTGAGGCTCCAGCTTTCCCAAAGATACCTTCAAAGCTGGCCCTCAGCCAGAAGATGTGGAACTTGGACAATGCAGAGGATTTAGTTAACATTCTTTAGCTCACTAAAAAGCTTAGAAAATGACAGATAAAGCAGTAACCTCAGGCCCTCTTAATCTATGCATTTCAGTAACACAAAGATATTTATTTCAAATATGATTTTTACAGTAGGAGAGGAAAGAGAAAAAAAAAAATCTTCTCCCTTAGTCATCAGGGTTCTGCTAAGGCTTTTTCCACGGGCCTCTGTTTTTTCCCCTTGCGCATCTGCAGTGTCTTTCCTTCACATGACTAGAGCCGCATGAACTGTTCCCATCGAGCCATTCAGTCATGGAGTTAGTGACAAAATCTGTTTCTGGCTTCAGTACCCATTACCAGTTTTATTATTTTGGGTTATGTGGCAAATGATTTCTGTGAATGTGCTCAAGATATCCCTAACTGTAGTAATTTGCTCGTGTTCCTTGACTCCTGGTGCACACGGTGAGGTTTCTTCTCTTTGGTGGCTTGACTGGGTGGTTCAATGCACACAGAAAACTTTCATAGGGCTATGAGGCAAAAAAAAATGCTTCATTGCTACAGGTACCTCAGCACAGAGATACCTATTTATGTATAATTGACAAAACTTCCTGGTTTGATAAACATTAATGCCAAAAAAAATCAACCTTTCACTGAGTAGCAGGAAAAAAAAAAAAAAAACATTCAGTTCTGCTCTGCTTTGAGTGTCTTTTATTTGGGTGTCTTTCCTTCCTTCTGACAGGGAAGAAATATTGTAGTCACTTAGAGTGAAATTTGTTACTATGCCATAGTCCAGATCGGGGGTTGCATACTGTCTTGTGAAGATCCCACTTGGATCAACAGGGTATGAACTTTATTCTGACCTTCTACAAAGTGACTCTGCCTCTGCAGTCCTCTTGGTCACGCGAACTCCTTCAGAGGGCAAAGAGCATTCTGCACATGCCTGGGCCATTGACTTATGCTCTTAACATTGTTTTTCTTCTGATGTTTTAGATACAAAGATTACCAGTAATGCTATTTATTTTAATGAGGCCTATCTTGCAATTTAAGGAAGAAAGAGACTAAATATGCAAACAAAGACCTTGAATAAATAAGAGACCTCAGTTTTCTGGGAGGTGCCTTTCCAAAGTGGAAGTGATATAAGTGTTTTCAGGGTGATGACTGGCAGGAGTAGCACTCAGTGACCTCAAAATTCCTTCTAGCTTCTGTTTGTTTGCTTTTTGTATTTTGTTTTTCGTTTTGGCTAAAGAAGTTTCAATTGTGAGAAAACATGGTGGACTGTGAAGATACAGAGTCTTGGCAAAATGCTTTGGAAGAGCCCATTTCTGCAGCAGTGCCCATCACCCCAGAGGAGATCAGCTTAAGTGACTTAAATTTCCTGTTTCTATTTTCAAGACTATCATCTGCAGCGCCTTGAGGATTTTTTTGTGGAAGTGGGTAGGGGTCAAGGAGTGAAAGCACAACATTCTTGGAAATGCATTCTTGGAGTCTTTGGGACAGGACACTTGTGCTGGACCAGAGCCTTCACAAGCTCCCATCTCAACACAACTTCCACCTGCAAAGGCCTCCTTCATCTGTTCTAAGACAAAGATGCTGTGCACTATGAGTAAATTCGCTGATTTTTGTTGAGATGACATATCATGCAATACTGGTACACCATTTCCCTTCAGAAACATTCACAGCATATAAATTTAGGCTTCCCATTTCCTACATAACCAGCAGTGAAACGGGAACCTCTAGGAGGTATCAGAGCACCCAAATCAACTGCCTCAATTAGATGCTGTGAACTGGTGTTCTTGGTGGGGAAGGCTTTGGTCAGTCACATCATCAGCAGGTAGGTGCAGGAAGGAGTCGCAGGCTGCTTGGACATCCCAGGCCCTCATTCTCAGCAGCTCCATTTGCCATGAGATTTAATCTGTGGATTGTTAGCTCACAGATATTTTCTGTAGTTTCCTATAGAAAGCTACCTGCGTCCCACACAGGTCATTATATTTATGGATGGAAAGAAAAACAACAAAAGAGGAATAGTTCATCCTTTGATTATTTTTACTTCTACCAATCTCTTCTCACTTGGAGATGCCCAGAATCAATACAGGGAAATGAATATTTAAGAATAATCTAATAATTTAGTATTTAAGTTTTGAAGGGCATGTTTGTTCATCTAAAACCATTTAATAATATTTGACAATTCTTTTTTCTTTAGTTTTTTAATTTTAAATGTCCTTGTGTTTCTGTTATTCTACTGCTTTCCCTCTCTGCTTCTATTTTTCCTTTCCCTCATGAATATGGATGGAAAAAGCAAATAAGATAGAAAGAATGGAGAAAAAGAGAGAGAGAGAAAGAGGAAACCAAAGAAAACCAAAACATTGAAAAATAAATGTTTAACAGGTAAATGTGTTCTACTGAGGTTCTAACTCCATGGCTGTTAGTGAATATTGGCATACAGAATAATCTGAAAAAAAAAAGAAAAATAAAAAGGTATTTCTGAGCTTATGCTGAAGAGTATAAGTTTAATGCTTAAAATGAAAATAGGTATTTCTTAATATACCAAAACTTTATATTAATGTAATTCATAGGGGCTTTAATTGAATTCCTCAAGCTTGTCTGAAGTAGGAGAACAGAACTCCTGCCTTTGCCAAGCAGAACTTTATGCAGTGTACCAGAGCCTTTATATTTAAAGGGTATTTTCATCATGTAGAAACCTGACTGCATTGTGAGACAGTGCATCCAGGGCTTTAGCAATGGACATGGATATACAATGTCAAAATAACTCTATCATGTAAACTGCAATAGTTGTTTTGTTAATTATTCCAATTTATATATATTTACAAGGACAATATTACAATATTCTTTTTTCCTGAATAAACTTGTCTAATTCACAACACAGAGATAAGCCTGTTTTTGATCCTCTTCAGACATATCACCGAGGATATCCAAGGTGCTGCAGTGGTGGGATGCACTTGTTCAGCAGATACAGAAACAAGAGGCTGGGCTGCTTCTGGGCTCATCTGGGTCCCTGGACCACATGGAGGTTTTAGTAGGGCCTCTCGTTTCCATGTGCACAGAGGCATCTTCGGGCCATACAGAGGCCTGTAGGGCCCCCCCTACAGAGGGGGACCCATCCGAACCCAATATGCATTCCAGAGAGAAAACCATATTCGTCTCAAAAACCCCTATATAGGGCCATATAGACCCATACAGACCTGTTTTCTGCCCCCCAAACCCTATGTTCCCCTCAAAAAACCCTATATAGGGCCATAAAGACCCCTTTTCTGCCCAAAAAACACATTTTCCTCCTTAAAAAAAAAATCCTCTCAAAAAACCCTATATAGAATTGCTAAGGTTGGAAATGACCTCTAGAGGT